AAGTATAATCAAACATTTCAAAACCTATGCCTTCTACAAAGGATCTATGAATAGCTCTGACACCATGTGAAAAGGTACTCAACACCAGTGAAATATCATTTCACAAGCACTAAAAATGCCAAACTAAAAAAGTGAGACATTCCAACGGAGCTGATAGAGATAGAAAGTCGTACATCCATTTTGGGAAATGGCATATCCACTTCTCAAATAGTAAACAGATATGATCTTGTAGTTCCACATTTAGTTTTGAACCAGAAATGAATGAAAACAAGTCCATGCACACTGGCAACTACATGTTCACAGAGACAGCTTTCATAACATTTCCCAAATAGAAAACAACATAAATAACCTACTAACGGATGCATGGATTAACAAAATATTTATTAAATACAATTCTCTTCATCAATAAAAAAGAAAAAATATTTCTATGATATAGACACAATTCTAAAGCATTATGGTGTCAAAGAAGCTTGATGGGAGTGAATATTGAATAATTACAGTTACATGAAATGCACAGAAAAGGAAAAATCTGCACAGAAGGAAGTTGCTGAACTATGACACTTGGGAGGAAAGATAAGGGGTAATAATAAATTGGCATAGAAATCTTTTAGGGGTAATAAAACTGAAACTGATGTATGATGGTGTAAACTTTTTAAAGCAAGCATCGTTGCTCATTGTACCCCTGAAATAGAGGTGAATCATATGAACAAGAATATGACTTAAAAATTTATTTCAAGAACATATAACTTCAAGGAAGTCACTTTTGTAAAACAAAAATTTACAATCTGAATTATAAACCACAAAAACACATACTTCCTGGGCATAAAACTTTATAGGTACCTTATTTCTTTCAGTAGGAATTGCTATGGAGATTTCAAAACAGAAATGAAGGCTTCCTGAATTTTAAAACACTGGAGAGTTTATGGCTAAGCATTAGTCTCTGTCTCACATAGATTTTGTTTTTATGACTTTTCCTTATCACATAAAATGTCTGCTTTAGTTATCATTATCATCAGCATGATTACTCTTACAGTGGGAATAAACAGGTCCCCAATCATAATGCCAAGGAAAAGTACCTTCTCCAGGCCAGAGCCTGTTCTAACCAGTCTACTCACATGGCATCATTGACTAACTCCTAGTGTTTTTCTTTTCTCTTGGTGTGTGTGAAGGTTCTGGGCAAGAACTCTACCACTCAGGATATGCACCCACCCCTTTTGTGCGTTCTTTGGTTTTGAGATGCACACTTGCCAAAGCTGTCCTTGAATTGGATCCTGTCGTTGAGATAACAGTGTATGCCCTCATGCCCGCACTTGATTTTGTTTATAAGTGAATAGATGCATAATCCTGAAGGATTATACAGGGTAAAAAGACTATGGGAAGTAGCTGGTGTCAAGTCATTAACGTGGGTGGTATGTAATGGGCAGAGGGTTTAGTACCATACCAGTCTGTCATCAAAGCCTGACCTCTTTACTGCCACATTGTGTCCTTGTGGAAAAGCAGACCAACTCCCACTGGTGTATATGCCAAATACTTGAGAGACTTCTTGAGTAACCAATTTAATTCATAACCTTGTTGGATGCTAATGGACATGAGCCCAAATTCTGCAGAAGTGAACCAAAAGGAAAATGAAGGTCTTGTTCCCAAAATCAGATGAGCAAGTTTTTAGACACATGAGAGAAAATTCCAATGAAACATGAGGAATTTCTCATTTACAAACCTATGCCACATAAAATATTTAGTAAATAACCACTGATGTGGGTATTTTACATGTAGAAGGTAGTTACTCTATGAGCCATGAATTTTTCAAAAGTAATTATGGTTATAAGAGGATTTCATGTAACCTTCTGAGACAACCACTGTTCCGATTTGATAAGAAGCCAAGAGTTGGAGGATATGATGTTTGCCAGTCCTACTGAACAATGATCTGACTGTATTTTCCAAATGTGAGCTACTCCCAGTAATAATGTGTCACATAAATGAGACATTCAAATCACGTACAGAATTCTCTGCCTCCTCCTGAGGAAGTACCAGTCATTTAGGACAGCCATAGTAAGGTAATATCAGCACTTGCCAGTCTCCATTTTCATCAAATAAACTTAGGGAAAGAGTCCTGAGATCAGTGGTATTCAAGGACATGTAGTAACTAGATGTTTTGTTTTTATTTTTAAAACCGGACCTGAATGTTAGACAGAAGGAAGATGCTCTATCACTTGAGTCTAGATCTACCCTAGACCTTTGTACTTCAGTTAATTTTAGATAGGGTCTCACATTTTTAGCTCGGGACCCACAGACCTCCATCTTCCTCTTGGTTTCTCACATAGATGGCATTACAGGTGGTCTGCCTCACCAGATTTGTTCTTTGAGATAATGTATCAATAATTTTTTGCCTGGGCTAGCCTCAAACCTTGATCCTCATCGCTCTCCTTCTGAAGTAGCAGTATCATTTTTGGATATTATTACATTTTAAATTCTTTTTGCTATATTGGCTTTGCATATTTCCATTGGTACTTCATACTGACCATTTTGCTTACTCTCCTTTTCTCCATCCCACCTACCCCTATTAGTCTATAGCTTTCTGTGAGCTTCATTCTGTCACCTTCATTTACAGATGTAACCCATTTTAATATACTTTACCCTCTTAACATATTCTTTTCCTCTTCCACCTCCCTTTAATACCCTCAGTGCCATGATTAACAATATGTTCTACACATTATATATTCATATATATGGTATATACATATGTATATTTGTTTATCTCTTAGATTATTCTTTAAGTGCATACAAGTGAAAATGTTTGTAGTCTTCCTTATAGTCTGTCTATTGAAAGCATTACACAAATATTTTAAACATAAACACAAACACACACTAGCATTTGTGAAACGCATATTGGTGAAACTAATTTGAACTTATCAATGTCCAAGGCAGTTGTACTCACATATGGAAACTAAAATTCCATTATGGTTTTACCATGTAAAATATCAAACTCAGGCAATTAACTGAAAAGGAGGATTGGACAGAACACTACTTGGAAAAGGTTCTCAAAATAACCTCATCATCCCTTGAGCAATTTTTCTTTTCCAACAGTGTAGCTCACATTATATTACCCCAAATATTTACTTTCTCCTTTTTACTTCACTGCTCATGGATTTAGGCATAACCTCCATCCTCTTTAAAAGAATCAGCATCAAAAATAAATGTGCATATTTGTAAATTAGTGTCATAATACTCTTCATAATTATTTATATATTTACCACTTATTATCTGCTTGCCATTACTAATATAACCCCAGAAGAGGATAGACCTCATCTCTCTCTCCTAAAACAGTGTCTAGGACACACACACACACACACACACACACACACATACACACACACACACACACATAGAGTTACATGTGAATGCATGGACAAGAAGATTATCTCCAGGAATGACTGCGTATAAGCTATCCATTTCTATAGATTCATGCCATTATTTCTATCAAGGAGTAAAGAAGTAAAGTCATTTTTCTGCCCACTATAATCTGAGCTAGCCTGTGGCTTGCTTTTCCCAATAATATTCAGTGGACCTAGCACTGTGCCAATCTGAGCCTGGTCCTTCATTGATTTTTGCAGCTTCCATTCTGGATGAAATTTTTCTAATAAAAGTTATAATGTATCAATTTATTTTTCTTTTCTAGTACTCAAGGCCTTGCAGTTGCATGGCCTACTTGTTGACTGCTGGTGCTCTATCAGTTGAGGCACAACTTGAGTCTTGCTTTTTGTTAGCTAATTGGAGATGAAGTCTAACTTTAGTCATAGCTGGCTTTGAACAGACAGTCTCAATGTCTCAGCTTCCTGAGTAAGTAGGATTATATGTGTGAGCCACTGCTGTCCATATATTTTTTAATGATATTATCTCCAAATAATTGTACAAAGGGGTTTAAGTTAGCGTGTATTTATATACACAATGCATCTTGGTCAGAGTCAACCTTTCCATCATCCTCCCTTTATATATCAATATTTAATAGTATAAATGTAGTTAAAATTCAATTTATCTATTACTAAAATTATATTTATCTTACAATATTCTGTATAAAATTTGAAACATAGAAGAATAAAAGAAATAAAACTGAGCATTTCAAAATTTAGTAATCCAGAGATCTTTTCCTATCAATAGCATACAAATATAGTCCATTTAGAGAGACTTGGAAATACAGAGTCCTCAGCTATCACAAAAGTAATTCTAACAATTGTCTGAAAAGCACAGGTGCAGATCTGCAAAGAGAGAGTGAGCAGCTCAACCAGACATTAGCTATTCTGGCTAGTTCATCTTAGACACTGCTGGAAGCTCTTGTACACACCAGAGCTGCTCTAAATCGCAGCAAACAAAACCAAGTGGTTTAGAGACAGCATATACCTGCTGGATAGTGCCAGAAAGCAAAATCTGAAAAAGTTGTTGTTTCACCCCAGAATGTTCACAGTGTTTGCTGAAGATTCCTGGAACAGTCATTAGTCCCAGAAATTGGTTTCTTGACAACAAATAGCTAAAATAGAAGGTATTGACATGAGAAGCAGGCAGCCCGGGCAGACTGCAGAAACTATTAGTGAGGGCTGTAAGATTCCTGAGAACTTGCCATTAGAGGTAGAGCAAGGTAAGAGCTTATCCAGTAGTTATGAAGCAATGAGCAAGACTAACAACTAGAGCAACATGGAATGTAGAAAAACGATTTATGCTTTAAAACATTGACATTTATGATGAAAGAAAAAGAACAAATAATAATGATTTAAGATGGAGAAAAAAGCATGGAAGGAAAGAACATCTAAAATGCAATATTTTTTAACCTTAACTTAATAGTTACTTAACAATCACCAATGACTATGAATACTACCCAGTTATTTATAAAAATAATCCCAACTTGTGGTCAAATAATTCATCTTCTAAACAGCTACCAGATCACTGCTTTCCTTCAGCCCAGCCTGAGTTTCTGTATAAAGGATGGTCAGTAAAACCCAGCCATATACCTGTCAAATGATGGCTTCTCTCCACAGTCAAAGGCATCCTGGAGCTCCTTGACAAGATTAGCCTGACCTGGAAGTCGAAAGAGACCTTCTTCCTTTAGCCCTCTCTGCCGGATGAAATCCACGCACTGCTCCACCAACATGGGGGCCAGGCGGTTCCCATATCTCTTCTCGTAACGGACAGTGTCTTCCAGTTTCTGCCCAAATATGCCTGGAAAAAATGGGGGATCACAATAGATGTGAGAAATTCATCTCTTCATATTTTGTTTCTTTTGAAACTCAATGTAAAGGAAACCAAAATTGGAATGCTAGGAAGCCCTTGACATTTCTTATTTCACGTTATTACACAATCCAATTCAGTTTGTGTAATTCTTCAGTAGGAAGCATCTACTTTGTGATGATGGTTGCTCTTATATTCTACATTTTCCTCAAAACCAAATAGTGACACTGAATTTGAGATATCTACTTTGAAGTAAACATCACTATTGTACATGTAATTTGAATTTTGACTTCGCTTCCTTTTCTTTTAGAAAAGAAACTAATTCAAAAATGAAATTCAGACATATCCTGAAGACAATGGTCAAACTTTACTTCTGTCACAGTTTTATCATATGTATGGCCCATTTGTATTTTGTTCAAATTCTTCTTATTTCTCTGAAATGTTTTCAATCATGTTATGGTGACATGATTGTAGTCAGCAAGTAAAACCAAGAGTTCTTGAATTTTCTTCCATATAACATGTTCCTGACTGTTTGCTCTTCAAAACCTTGAACTTCTAACTTTAAAGTGAAAAATGTGAACATTACAAAAAGGGGGCAGGGTGGGATGTCATGGTGGCTTTCCCTAATAGAAAGGCCATTTTAACATTTACTGTCTAAAATTTCAGCACATAGAAAGCCAACTGTGAGCCCATTTGTACTACCGACTTTAAAGCACTCACAAACTATGCACTCCATGGTGTATACACCTTGAACTGAGCACTGCCATCACTCTATTCATGAAAATCACTGAGGAAAGAGTGCTACTAAAATGTGTCAATATTGGGCAGCAGCTTGGAAAAAAATGATTGACTTTTGAGAAAAGTGAAAAGGAGCACCCAATGTACATGTAACTCCAGTGTTCTTAGGTGAAATGAATATCAATAAATGGTTTTAATGATGTAATGAGTTTTATAAAAAGGCAAAGAAAAATATTATATGCTAAAATTTTGGAAGATTCTAAGATGTCTGGGGACTTGTTTAGCAGCCATTGATTAAGGAATTGATAAAAATGACAGATGCTTTTGCTTCCCTACTTGTAAAGTAACTTATGTTTGGATTTCGTAATTGAAAACCATAACATTCCATGTAAAAACTTTCTACTCTCTGGGCATCATACCTATAGCCTCGCTATTCAGGAGGCTGCGATCTGAAGACTGCAGTTCAAAGCCAGCTCAGGAAAGAAAGTCTGTGAGATTCTTATCTCTAATTAATCACCCAAAAGCTGGAGAAATGGAGCTATGGCTCAGTGGTGATGAACTAGCCTGGCATATAAAAGCTACAGGACAATGCCCATGCTTTGAGTTTAAGACCAGTACTCAACTGAAAGAAAAAAAAATAAGCAAACAAACAAATTTTCTACCAAAGAGAGTATCTTTAGCTAAGGTAAACAATAACCACAAACAAATAATTCTATACTTGGTATCAAATCTAGCATTAATGGAATTCATATATTCCCTTTAGGAAATTAGTCCAGTCAGCCACAATCAATATTCAAGTAGAAACAAGACACAAGTAGAAAATAGCATTTTCTTAGGGAAGGACGGTTCATAGCAGTAACAGGTATGGTTAGCTTAGTTTGTAGATTTTCAAGTAAGCAGTGAGTTGTTAATGAAGTGGCAAACATTTATTCATGATATCTACAGCCATTTCACTCTTGCTATCTTTACTTTAGAAGCTGGAAAATTAAACACTTCTCCCTTTCTCCCAGATGCAGGTGGCTAAAGGGCAAAATGCTGACCAAGAAGCCTTATGAGGTGTTTTTTTTTTTTTTTGGTTGATTTGTTTTGGCTTTTGTAAAAAGGAAAGGTAGCTGGATTTGGCAATAAATAAAAATAAATTAAAAATAAATAAAAGTAGAAAAAATCATGGCCACATACGGAGAAATCAAGCTATAGTTGTCAAAAGAAAGACTGTGGTGGCAGTCACAATTGAAATCTACCCCAGATCATCAGTAATGGCTGTCTTATGAGAGCAGGTGGTCCCAATAATGACTTTTAGCGGTGCAGGAATTGGATCTTTTTGCTTTTCCAAGGCCAGAATCATCACTGAAATGTTTGTTTGTAAATTAAATTCAGTTGATAACGATGTGAAAATTGCACATATGTATGTGGTCCCAAGTAATGTTTTTAAGATACGTGCACATGTATATGTAAAATTTACATAAAATTAAATATATTGATTTCATTGATTATTATTTCTTTATGAAGAATCCCTTCATTTACATTTTTGGAATACACAGTACATTATTACCCAGGGGCATATCAGAACTTCCTGGTCCCATCAAACTATAGCTGAGAATGTACTAATCAATTTCCCTCTATCACTCTCTTTCTCTTTCCTTCTTCGGTGTCTGCAATTTACCTTTGGACTCTTCTATGAAATTAAATTTTAATTTTTTAAATTTACAAAATGGACAAGATCATGAGTATTTGTATTTATTTCAATTAACATGATCTCCAGGGCCATCTATATGTGGCAGAGGACATAATTTCCTTCTTTTATGGCTGAATAGTATTCCATTTTTTATATATGTACCACATTTTCTCTATTTATTAATTAGCCACGAGGCACTTAGTTCCTAGTTTGACCACTGATTTTAATTTAAAGCCCTAAACATTAAAGCATTGCTAGTTTGCTAATGGAAGTCCAAGGAAAATAAAAAGAAGATATTCTTGGTTGCTGCTCAAATCTGCTATCAGTATTACAGTGGTTTTTTTCCCTCCTTGTCAATAAATACATGCTCAGCATAGAGAGAATATGCTTTACTTTTGCTCCGCTGATGGAAGCTTTGCTAGCAGGATAAATCCTGGTGCCACTAAAATTATAAGTATTTTCAATGAACATTCACTCTTAGTAAATAGACAAGCCAAAATTAAAGACATCCATTGCAGCATAGAACTGAGAAACAAAGCCCATCAAAGCCTACATCAGTGTGTCACTAGTCAAGTGTCAAAAAAATAACAAAAGCAAAAATAAAAAAAAAACAGCCAAAATATAAGTAGACAATTCTCCCTCTTGCAAACTGGGACTCAGTGAGATTGAATGATGTGTTCAAGATTAATTGTGGCACAACAGCAAGAGACAGAAAGGAAGCCCTTGCCCAGTCTTATTGTTTTAAACCTTTTCACATTCCTGAATATTTGTCTTCTTTTTAATGATCACAATTGTTATGAGTCATAGTTTTCACCACAGCAATCTAAAATATTAGTAAATTCTAAAAGTTCATATAACTTATATGCTTTAAAAAATGATAATAGCCAAGCCACCCTTACCTGTGCCATGTTAGGGGCAGTTCATCTGCATGGTTCTCATTTAAAGATCACAACATCTGGACTTGGACTTTGTGAAAGTGACTCTCAAAGCACATGTTAAACTAAATGGCAGAGCTAAGGTGTGTGCTTGGTTGTGCTATTTCACATTCTGTGTCTCTCTCATTGTACTGTGTACAATGTGCACCTTGACATAAAGAGGCACAATGGCTAAATTAGGAACTTGCCACCTGCTGGTTCTTGACCTCAGTTTCTCTCAGCTCTCATTGCATGGAGGTGGGCTACGATGAGGACAAGTATGTTGGAGAGAAAGAACAAAAAGAGGAGGAAACAACTCTGGCATTTAAGTGAACATGTTGCCTAAAGAAGCAATTTCCTTTATGGAAGCCCAATGCTGAGTTAGCAATAAAATAAAAACAGAAGAAACATGAAGCACTGGGGCTCGTGGGATTCATGCCCATAATCCTACCTACTTAGGAGACTGAGTGCTGATGATCAAGATTTGAAGCCAATCCTGTCTGGACAGCTTGGAAGCCTTTTATCTCCAATTAAATACCTCCCCCCCTCCCCCCCCCCCCCCCCCCCCCCCCCCCGCAAATAAAAGGCTATGGCTCAAGTGTTTGAGTGCTGGCTTCGCACAATTAAGCTCAGGGACAGTTCCCAGGCCAAGTTCAAGCCCCAGCACGTGCGCACACACACACACACACACACACACACACATACACAAGTATTAAGCATATAAACTATATATATATGTATGTGGAGTAATGATGTTTTTCTACTATAGAATTGGTCTTGCTAAGAATTAGTAAAAAAAAATAACAAAACCCCCAAACCGTCACAATTTGTGTATACTCCTATTCTGTGGAAATAGACTCTACCAAACATCTCTTCCTTTTAATGATGTTAGCTCTCTGCATAAGAATTTTTTTTGGGGGGGTGGGAAGTTACCAATAGCCGGGGATGGGAGGCAGGGGAAGTAGTGTAACAAATACTTTTAAAACATTTTTCTTGGAGGTACCAGTAAAATTTTAAATTTTAAAAGTAACAAAAATGTACCTGCAACTGTTGGTTGACCCCTGCCTAGCAGCCTGAGGCAAGAACAGGTTAGTTAGTAGAGCTAATCACCCAGACAAGCCCAGTGACTTTCCATACGACCTGATAAGATCTCCAGCCTTTTTGGGTATCAGGATGCATCCTGCTTACAAGTCCTGGAAGAGCAGTGGTGGGGAGCATCTCAGGAAGTGACTTTGCCTTAGGCTGAGAAAGCAAAAGGTGCATTGATCACCCCTGCAGAGCCTATTTCAGCTGGAGTGAGGGATGAGCTTTCTTGGCCCTACCCTCTGTGTGAGGGCCTGCTTTGCTTGTGATACATCCCATAGCTAGAGGCAGCCTGTCAAGTCTGGGAATGTGATCAGAGGAAGGTATTCAAATTGCATCCTTGCTAAAAAAAATCAACACAAGTACGAAGCCATGCCTTCTAGAACTTTCTCTGCCCAGTACCTCCTTACCCTTTATGCTCTATTCCACCACGCTGTATCCACTTGCAAACCACAGCTTCCTCATAGTTGCCAAATTGTTGAGAGCCATATTTGCTTTTGTGTATTTTGTTGTGCTTCATTCCTTTGAACTCTCCACAACGACAATAACAACCAGAAAACATGAGTCTCAAAGCTTCTTTC